TTCAGAGCTGCTCCAAGGTCTCCAGGAGAAATTTCCTGATGGTACCAGATATCGGGGCCGGGCTGTTTTCCAATCCACCTCAGGAACCAAGCAGATGGCTCCTGGCTGGCTCGCCAGAAATGTTACCAGGTGGAAACCCCAGGTTCTTGCTTAGCATGACTTGTATTGGCCAATAAACGAGAGACCGAGGTGGGAGAACAGGAAAGGCACCTTTATTTTGTTGTACAAGGAAAAGCAGTCAGTCGGAGCTGCTGCTGCCAAGACCGCTCCCCAAGGGTGGGCAGGCAAGTTACTTATAAGGGGTTTACAAGTAGGGATTTCTTACAAGTTACATCAGCAACATTCTTAATCATACTATGCAGGTGAAATGGGGTTTACATAAAAGCAGGATTCAAATGCAAAGCTAAGGGGGAGGAAGCCAAGCAAAGAAAATAGGATTTTTAATACAGCACTGTAGGGACATCTCACTTTGACACATGAGCATGTTATATCTGTATGACAGTCATAATTATACTCTTTTAAAAATGATCTTTTAACAATTTATGTATGTCTGTTTGTATTTATGAGGTTAAGTGCTGTTTAAAGTCTTTTCCACCCCTCAAAAAATCCTTTTGAGTCTTAGATAAGTATTACATGAAAACTACAAATTAATCTGGGAGAACTGACACCTTTATGATATTTAGACTTCATGTTTGGGAATGTGGTGTATTTTCCTATTTACTTATGTCTTCTGTATTTTTCAGCAAAGTTTTGTACTTTTTATGATATAGGTTTTGTTAGGGTTACTTCTAATAAATTGTTGTTGACATTGTGAAAGGGATTTTTTTCCTACTATTTTTTTCTAATTGGTTATTATTGGCATCAGAAAATTTAATTTGGTATCTAATACGTAAGCCATTTGCTGGATTTTCTAAATCAAAGTTTCTAAAAAATTTATTACCTTGGATCTTCTAGTAGATATATGGTCTGCAAATAATGAAGGTTTGTCTCCTCTTTTCTAGTAGCTGTGTATCTTATTTCTGTTCTGTATAAGTAGTTAATTACTATGGTGGCTGAACTTCTATAACAATGTCAATTATTAACGCTGCTAAAGGCAATCATGTTTTGTTCTAATTTGAATGAGAATGTCTCTAATGTTTCAATATTAAATATTGACTATTGGTTTGAAATAGTTTTGTTGTTGTTGTTATTGATTTGAAAACATTCACAATCAGGAAGTACCCTTCTATTTTAGGTTTTTGGAACTCTCTGATGGTGTTGAATTGTACACCAAATGCCTATTTGCGATCTAATGAGATGATTATATGGTTTTTCTTATTTGATGTGACAGATTAATAGACTTTCTAATGTTAAAAATGGGATAAACCCTGGTCCTGCTGAATTATTCTTTTAGTATAGTATTGAACTAGGGTTTTTTAGTTTTGATTTTATTTAGTATCTTCTCATTTATGATCATAAGTGATCTATAGTAGGGTTTCTTAACTTGGCACTACTGACATTTTGGGTCAGATTATTCTGTTTGGAAGCCGGTGCTATGTGTTGTAGAATGTTTACAGCATCTCTGGCCTCTACCCACTAGATGTCAGTAGCAACCTCCCCAGGTTATGACAACTAAAAAAGTCTCCAGACATATCTCCTGGGGGGCAAAATCACCCTCGGTTGAGAACCACAGATCTATAACTTTCTTTTGGTGTGTGCTGTCTGTCATGTTTTGGCATCAGGATCGTGTCAGTTTCATTACGCCTATCAGATAGATTTCCCTCTCTTCCTATGTTTGGGAACCATTTACACAGCATTTGAATTAGCTGTTTTTTTAAATCTGAAAGAATTTACTGATAAAATCACACGGCTCCAAAGCTTTTGGGAGAGAAAATAATTTGATACAGTTTTAAACTATTTCCTTGAGTGAATTTTGGTAAATTTATATTTTTCTTAGAAAAGTAGTTTCGTTAAGATTTTACATGTATTAGCATATAACTTCCTACTTCTTGTCGTTAGCTACCATCAAATTGGCCCCTGAGTCAGGGAAAGCACTACCTAGTCTTGTGCCACACCCATGACTGGTTGTGTATCAGACCCTTGTAATCCACAGGGTCTTCACTGGCTGATTTTTGGAAGTATACCATCAGGCCTTTCTTCCTAGTCTGTCTTAGTCTAGAACCTCTGCTGAAACTTGTACAGCATCATAGCAACACACAAACCTCCACTCACTGACAGGCAGTAGCTGCGAATGAGGTATACACTGGCCAGGAATCAAATCTGGACCTCCTGCATGGAAGGTGAGAATTCTATCACTGAACCACCACTGCCCCTAACGTCATAGTAACCCATCGCCATCGAGTCGATTCTGACTCATAGTGACCCTATAGGACAGAGTAGAACTGCCTCATAGGGTTTCCAAGGAGCAGGTGGTGGATTTGAACTGCCGACCTTTTGGTTAGCAATCGAGCTCTTAACCACTGTGCCACCACGGTTCCAACTTCATAGTAGTACCCTTAATTTTAGAAAATCTCCTTTGAGTCTCTTATTTTATCTGCTTCTAAGATCTAATTTTATTCATTTGTGTTTTCTTTTTTGATTAGATTTATCATAAGTCTGTCTGTGTTAGTGCTGGCTGTATCTTCTCTAGGTGTGGAGCTTTCTGGGATACTTATGGGAGCTTTGAGGATAGAAGAAATAATCTGATTATGAACAGACGAGAATGACTTTACCTAACAGGATAAATCAAATTGGAATAACAATTTCTGGAGGTGTAATGCAAAATTGCTTCTATATAAAATTTAAAATTTTTACTAATTTTAATTATTACCAATACTATTAATAATGTCCTTATCATTCATACATTCTACATTAATTAATGATACACTTTGGAACACTGCATTGATAATAGGACACGTTTGCATGGTGATGCAAATTCAAAGAGATCAATTCACTTTCAGAGGTTATCCATTAGTTCTTTACCCAGAACGTCTGTCCACCTTCCAGATAGAGAAGCTGAAGTGGAGGATAGTTAATTGGGTCCAGGTAATTTAGTCAGTAATTAAACTGCAGGATGGGGCTAAATTCAAGAGCCATCATATATAAGCATGGTCATCATTTTGACATACAGCCTAGCGAGGTTTCACCTGCAGACGTATGCATAACCATGGATAGGCTTTGCGAGGAGCTTGTGACAGTAGATTGCTGTTGTTGTTGGCTGCCTTCAAGTCAAGTTTCAACTCACAGTGACTGTATGTGACAGAACAGAATTGCCCCATAGGGTTTTCTTGGCTGTAATCTTTACAGAAGCAGATCGCCAGGTCTTTCTCCTGTGGGAGTTGCAGTGTGAGTTTGAACTGCCAGCCTTTCAGTTAGCAGCCAAATGCTTAACCATTGAGCCAGCAGGTCTCCCTGACAGTAGTATAGGTACCCAATTAGGTGCATGGACAACAAGGGCATGCCCTGGGTTGCATCTTGATTCCACCAAGCAGAGTGTATTCTTAAATATCCCTGAGCTGCTGGAAGAAAGACCCAGCACTGTTCCCATTTAATGGAAGGACGTGGGAACTTGAAGAGTACAGAGTTTCCACTAATGGATTCAGGAATAGGCCCTAGACTGTCTCTTCTCCTTCAGTGTTGGTGGGGATTTCACACCTACCTCTCCAGAGCCCCAGGGTTCCTCTCTTGGTGGAGAGAACCTCCAGCCTCTGTCGTAGAGGCTGGCAGTTTGTGGAGCCCCCTGGCCCCATTCAGGGCACCATGACTCAGATGGCTGTTGGACCAAGCCTCCCCAGATGTAAGTGACTCTGTTGGGCTCCCCAGTGAGCAAGTCTTGTGCCACTGATCAGAAGGACTAAAGGATTATATAATGACCACATCAGTTTTGTGGGCATTTGCTGTAGAGGTCAGATTCTCTCAAGTCAAGGGTCAAAACCTCATATTCCTTTTTGATGGGTGGTACAGTCTCCTTTGCACCACCTTGCTGGTTACAGGGTAACCAGTTCAAAATGCTGGTTCAAAAGCCTTTATCTTGGCCTTCCTCTTTTCCATTTTTCTCCCACACCAGCGTTCCCACCTAACACTGGTCCTTCTTCCTTCTCTATCCACTAGGTATTTCTCTTGTAAATTCTCCCTAAGCACTTCTAATCCTCCACCTTTGCTAAAACCCTGCATCTTTATTTAGGTATTCATTTGACCACAAAATACCCTCTGGTGAGGAGGTGGAAGGTCACTATTGAGTCCAAATGGGATCTGTGATCCAGGATGAATTCTGGGAACATCTGGCAGGCAGGGGAAAGGTCTAGCAATGTGAGGAGATTCTCAAGGCCCAATTATGAATTACCATTAGAGTCTAGTCATAGATAATTTTTCATTCTGTGTAAATGTTAGTAAGTAGCCCTGTATTGTGGGTACTTGTCTGTTTATACATGTTCTACCTTACTCCAGAAAGCATTCGGATGGATAAAACTTCGCTCATTTCCTTTCTCTCCAAACTCTTAATAATCATCTTATGTATCTTGAATTACACATTCCAGACTACAAAGCAATTTTCACAGGCGTTATCTCATCTGATGCTCACAACAAACTTGTGAGGTCAGTAGGACAGGTATTATCATTTCCATTTTACCAATGAAGGCAATAAGGCTTGAAGATGGTAAGTGATGGATGTCCCAGGACTTGAACCCATATCTTTTGATTCCAAGGCTGGGCCTATTCCATATTTCATGCTACCTCCTAATCTGCAGTACGAGGAGCCATGAGTTAAATTTTAGAAAGTGTTGTGAGCAACTCAGAGAATCGCTGCTGTGTGTCTTGGACAAAGAATTATTATACTGGCTTCCTGGAGCTTTAGAGGGGAACCCAAGCCAGAACTCTGGCCTACAATGAGTGACACAGTCCCTTATTCTGCTAGCTCTGCAGCTGTTATTAACAAAAAAAAAAAAAAATTTTTTTCGGAGAGGCAAGGTTGATTGTTAGGCCATAAACCATTTATCTTTGTGGAAAATAACTTTTTCACTTACTGTCCAAAATCGGTGCACTTCTGTCATTGGTGACTGTCCGCTTTAGTTTCTTCCCTTTGTTGATGTCTGAGAGAAGAGCATTTCTCCCAGCCTGCTCTGCCTTATTCAAGGTAGGCTTTTCTGTATTGGCCTGAAAGGAAACCATGCAAACTCACATTCATCTCTTGGAGCAAAACCATGTACTACAACATTCAGCCGGGGCAGCTAGAGCATTGGAAGCTTGTTATTAAAGTTCTTGGCAATAGGTTGTAAATTCCCCACAAGTTTTAGACCCGATGTCATTCTTTTTAAGACCTAGACGTTTGGGAGCAGATGCAGCAATAAATTACATTCATTTTTAATGCAGGAAGAGTCAGTGCCTGACAAACGTCTCTGAAAATTCAGACCACAATCTGGCTGTAATCAACAGAGGTAGGGCTGGATGGCTACAAACGAGAAGTGAATTTTAAGTCTGGGAGGATCCTGCAGGAGACCACAAGGCTTCCTACTCCAGAATGTGTCCTGAAGAACTGCTTCCCTTTCTTATCTGTTAGAACTCACCCTGGTGCAAGGGGAAAATCATCTCTAGCAAAAGGGTCAGCTGTAAGTATCTTTAAAAAAATCTGCTTAAAGTCTTGGAAAATAATTCTTCTGTCTACATTGCCAAAGATGTTTTTCTTTTTTAAATTTAAGTCAGATTCATTAAGATATCATTACACACAGTGAAATCATCCTCTTAATGTACAGTTCTATGAGTGTTGACAAACATACAGTCGTATAACCACCACCACAATCAAGAGAACAAATATAGAACATTTTCCATTACCTGATAAAGTTCCCTCATGCCCCTTTGGTGTATGATGTTTATGATGTTTAATCCCTTCTAAAGCTTAGCTCACAGAAGGCTACAAAGTGGCCAAAGGCACTGCCTTAAAATGTTTAGGTATTATATACCCAGAATTCCTGGGAAAATTCCTTAATATGAAATTGCCATCTCATTTCTTCAGCGTTGTTTTAGAGAGTGGGGATGACAAGAGCCCACACACAGACTAGGAAGTAGGCATTTGCCTGTGTCTGTCATTCTTGGAAACTGCTGGTCTTACCCAACAGCCTCTGGCTGCCCCAAACCCAAAGGTCGGTCCAGCAGTCCTGAGTCTTTCTAGCCTAGCCTCAGCCCTTCCGGAAGGGATGAGAATTCAGATAAGCCAGTGATGGCCATGGGAGGTAAACCTGGTGAGGCTTATGGCTTGATACCCCGAACAGTGATTTATCATGAGAGTTAGAGGCAGAGTGAGAGCTAAGAAAAGTTCTAAAGTAGGCTAAAAATAATTACTGTGGTTAACCTAAAGTATTAATACGCTCATGACAGTAACAGTTAACATCTATATAGCTCTTACTAGTAACAGTTAACATCTATATAGCTCTTACTATGGGCCAGGCACTATTTTACGTATGATCTGGGGAACAATATTGGAGCCATTATTCCCTGTCCTGGAATGTGACCCAGCTAGAGCTGGACTCACAAGGACACATCAACTGGGCCCTGAAGTATAAAGACATTAGCTAGGACAACCCTGAAAAACATCTTCTAGGGAACCTGTCACATAAACTAATAAAACACAGCACTGAAGACCCACATACTTTCTACTTTTATCTTTTTCTATTAGCATTTAGTGAATAGTAAGATTTGCTGGACCAGAGAAGACCCTCCCAATTGTTGTCACTGAAACCTGTACCAGTGATTGTTGAGAAAGACAATTCAAAATGTAGGATCAGTTTCTAGCCAATCTTTGAAAAGGTGAAGCTTTCAATGGTGCCCATCTGTAATGTGAATATATACTGATGACTCTGTAACATTCCTCATGCTTGTCTATCTTCCCATTCTTGCCTATTCTGTAATATTCCTTCGATTCGGGCAGACATTAGCTCTGGCAGCATGCTTGTCCACTTCCCACTTTTGCCTTTTTGAATACATGCCAAATAAAACTTTCTTTTTGCTTTACTAAACTTTGTGATGTTTTTACCCTACAACACATATATTAATGCTTTTGGTCCTCATCAATCCTACAGCTGTCATCTCCATCTTACAGACAAGGAAACTGAGGCACAGGGAGATGAAACCATTTGCCCTAGGTCACCCAGTTAGGAAGAAGAGGAGCTGGGACTCAAATGGTGGCAGTCTGATTCTAGAACCCTCCCTATAACCTGACAGAAGGGTAACTATGGGATATAAAATGCTCCTTCCCCATTAGCCCTCACCACTCTCCTGAAGCAACTTCGTTAAAAGCTTCTTGGCTATCATTCCAGGAATGCTCTTTGCATTTATACTTTACTTTTGCTAATGGGATCATCTTTTATTAGAGTTTAGAAGGAGCTTTTAAAATTACCTACTGGCTTCATCTTAAGGAAGAAAAAACCTGAGGTTCAAAAGGTTAAGTGACATGTCCAAACTGGATATCCTACCAGTCTGGGGTCAGCAACCTTCAGTGGCCTCCTGTTCTGCCTCAGAATTAATTCTGACACCTGACCTCCTCGGATGCTAACTTCTTTCAAGCCCAGGGCCCTTAATTGCATAGTTCCACTAGGAAGGTGTCTTGTGATATGCACCAACTCCCCTTTCCCTTTTCTCATTTTTCTATCTGACTTCTCCGGGATTTTGCTTTTGTTAGGTAGTAATAGACAGAAATGAGTTGATAGGATAAACCAGCGTTTCCCAAGCTTCAGTCATTTTGTATGACCTTCATGATTTCTGTCATCTTCTCATGCCACCTGTTATTTAATATTTTCATTAAATCAATTCACTATATTATTTATTATACTACTTTTCATTGGCTATTCTAAGTTAACTTATTCTTAAATCCTGAGTTTGATGTGTTGGTTATAATTTTTAGAACACACATTAAAAGAAATACATGAATATTAAAATTAAAAAATATTAATCCATGGACCACCCAACAGTGGTATACAATTCACACTTTTGGGGAAATACATATGAACTAACCCTGCTATGTCAGCCAGATCAGGGCTTCTCAAACCATTTATGTGAAGGACTAGTACTTTAAAAAACTTTTCCAATCCATCAAAGATTGGCACTTTTGCAAAATAACAATGAATCATTAGAAAAATGAATTTGTATTAAGAAAGATATGCAAGAGACAATATTATTAGAAAAAACATATACAAATACTGTCAAATTACGATAAACGTTTCTAAATGCTAACTCTCAATTTCTGTACTTATTTCTTTAGAAACTCTAACAAGCAGTCTGAGAACCACACTTTGAATAGCACTGAGCTAATTAATGGTCTGTTCTTCCTATCTAGTTCCAACCTCAGATAGGCTATAAGTGTGTCCCATGAAAGCCTGGGGCAAGAGACTTGCCTTCTATGGACCTCAGGTTCCCCATGTGAAAAATGAAGGGACCATCACTTTGTGAGGCTCCTCAGCAGGGAAGGCTGGAGGAGACCTTTGTAATGAAGTGTCTTGGAGCCTTTCCATATCACAAGGTGGGAGGTGCCTGCTTCCAGGCGAGAGGCGCTGCCTGGAAAAGGGGGCACTGACTTCTGAGGAAGGTCTATCAAGGAACCAGGATGAGTCCAGTCAAGAAGTTCCTTTGGAAAGTAGAAATCTAGATGCAAGGATAGATTTAAAGAAGGCTGTGAGTGTGTGTGTGTGTGTGTGTGTAGGGGGTGGTGGTGATGGTGGGGATGACATCTGTCAAAAACAGAGAGTGGGAGAAAGGGGGAAAAAGAAAGAAGTGAGACTGGAGGACATTTTAATGGACAAATTTTCAGATGGAACAAGACCCAGGTTTCTGGACCGTCCTGCCCAGAAGTTAAAGGTTAGAAGTTAAAGTTCATTTGAATAGAAGCGGTGCATGTATGTTTCAGAACTGCTCCTGCGAACCCCTGTGTTGGGTCAGCACATGGGAAATGAACAGGATGTTTCCCTTGGTGGACACAGTAGAAAAAATCTAAGTAATCCACATTCCACGCTTGTACTGTGCATTGCATGAGACCTTAGACAACAAGAACCCTTGGTGTTTGTGTTCACTAGGTCTCAGGGTATGGCTTCCTCTGGGCACCTGGAAAGCCTGCCATATCATACTTAGGCCAGAATGCAAATACACTTAAAACAAATATGCATATGGCAGGTTTTGACATGCTTTATGCATAGATAATGGATGGTGAGGGAAACTCACCAGTGCAAGTGTTGGGGGCGGAGGGGGTGCTGGAGGGGGAGGGACGGGCATCTTGGATGGTTAAACTTTCAACAGTCTTGCTGAGAAATCTGTAAAAACAAAACAAAGTCATACATTAGACATTTTGGTAATACTCTGTCCTAATATGCCTTCCTTATCCCCTGTCAAAGTGACAGCTATTCACACAGGCCAATTCTTTTTATTTATTTTGTTGTTTATGTTGTTGAGAATATACACAGCAAAACATACACCAATTCAGCAGTTTCTACATGTACAACTCAGTGACACTGATTACACTCTTCGAGTTGTGCAGCCATTCTCACCCTCCTTTTCTGAGTTGTTTCTTCCCCATTAACACAAACTCACTGCGCCCTAAAGTTCCTATCTAATCTTTCAAGTTGGTGTTGTCAATTTTATCCCATATAGACCGTTCTTAAAACAGTATAATACTCAAGGCAGACATTTTTTACTAGGTAAGCTAAACTACTGTTTGGTTTTAAGAAGACTTCAGGGGATATTTTTGGTTTAAGGTTTAAAAGATTATCTAAGGATAATAGTTTCAGGGATTCATACAGCCTCCATGGGTCCAGACAGTTTGAAGTCCATGAGAATTTAAAATTCTGTTCTACATTTTCCCCTTTTTGATCAGATTCTTCTATAGAATGTTTGATCAAAATGTTCAATAATGACCACAATATAACTACACACCAATAGCTCTTATGAATATAAATGCAAATATCCTCAACAAAATACTAACAAACCAAATCTAAAAGCATATTAAAAATATTATACACCTTGATCAAGTGGGATTTATCCCAGGAATGCAAGGGTGGCTCAACATTTAAACATCTATCAGTAATACCTGATATCCACATTAACAGAACATAGGAAAGAACCACATAATCATCTCTAACGATGCAGAGAAGGCATTTGACAAAATCAAAAACACTTTCATGATTAAAAAAACACTCAACAGCTAGGAACAGAAGGGAAGTTCCTCAATCTGAAAAAGGTTTTTTTAATGAAAAACCCTGAGCTAACATCATAATGGAGAAAGACTCAGACCTTTCCACTTAAGATAAGGAACAAGACAAGGATGTCCACTCTCACCACTGCTATCAATATTGTATTAGAAGTCCTAGCTAGAGCAATTAGGCAAGAAAAAGAAATAAAAGATATCCAAATTGGAAAGGAAGAAGTAAAATTATCCCTTTTTGCAGACGACAAGCTCCTTCTGGGACATGATCCCCAAAAAATCCACAAAAAAGCTACTAGGGCTAATCAATGAATTCAGCAAAGTGGCAGGATACACAATAAACACAAAAAATAGTTGGTTTCTATACATCAGCAATTAGCATTCTGAAAAGGAAATTAAGAAAATAATTCCATTTAATCCCAACAGAATTTAAAGAATAAAATATGTAGGAATAAATTTAACCAAGGAAGTAAAAAGACACATACACTGAAAACTATAAAAAAAAGTTGAAAGAAATTTAAAAAGATAAATAAATGGAAGGACATTCCATGTATGTGGATTGGAAGACTTAATGTTGTTAAGATGTCAGTACTACCCAAAGCAATTTATACATTCAATGCAATCCCCATCAAAACTTCAACAACCTTCTTTGGAGAATTAGAAATCCTCAAATTTATATGGAACTGCAGGGGCCCCTAACAGCCAAAGCAATCTTGAAAAAGAACAAAGTAGGAGGGCTCATATTTCCCAGTCTTAAAGCATACAATAAAACTATACTAATCAAAACAGTCTTGTACTGGTATGACAGACATATAAACCAATGGAATAGAATTAAGAGCCAGGGATAAACCTGTATGTCTATGCTCAATTGGTTTTTTATAATCGTGCTAAGTCCATTCAACTGGGGAAAGAATAGTCTCTTTAATAAATAGTGCTGGGACAACGGGATTTCCAGATGCAAAAGAATGAGCCTGGACCCATATCTCATACCATATATGTAAATTAACTCAAAATGGATCAAGGACCTAAGTGTAAGAACTAAAACCATAAAATTCTGAGAAAAAACTTTGGGGTAATGCTTTGGGACCTAGTTTTTAACTATGGATTCTTAGATATGACACTGAAAGCATGAGCAACAAAAGACAAAAATAGATAAACGATACTATATAAAAATTTAAAACTTTTCTTCATCAAAGGACTTCATCCACAAAGTGAAGAGACAACCTAGAGATTGGGAGAAAAAAATTGGGAATCATATACCTGACAAGGGCCTGGTATCAGAATGTATACAGAACCCCCAAAACTCAACAAAAAAAGACCACAACCCAATTAAAAAAAATGGGCAAAGGACTTGAATAGACATTTCACCAAAGAAGAAAGACTAATGGCCAATAAGCACATACAAAGATGTCCAACATCATTAGTCAGTGACACTGGAAATGCAAATCAAAACCAAAATGAGAGATTACTTCAGTCGCACTAAGATGGCTATAATTTGAAAAACAAAACATAACAAAAACAGGAAACAACAGGTGTTGGTGAAGATATGGAGAAACTGGAACCCTCATCCACTGCTAGCGGAACTGTAAAATGTACAGCCAGTGTGGAAAACAGTTAGGCAGTTTCTCAAAAAGTTAAATATACAATTACCACATGATCTAGCAATTCCACTCCTAGGTATATAGCCAAATAATTAAAAGCAGCAATGCAAACAGATACTTGTACACCAATATTTACTGCAGCACTATTCACAATAGCCAAAAGGTGGAAACAACCTAAATGTCCATCAACGGATGAATGGATAAACAAAATTTACATATATACAATGGAATATTGTTGTTGCTGTTGTTAGTTATCTTTGAGTCAATTCCGCCTCATGGTGATCCCACGTATGAACAGTAGGACTGCTCCATAGAGTTTTCACGAGGCCTGTCTTCCAAGGCACCTCTGGGTAGGTTAAAACTGCCAACCTTTCAGCTAGTAGTCAACCACTTAAACGTTTGCACCACCCAGGGACTTCATCAATGGAATATTACTGTACCATAAAGAGAAATGAAATCCTTATACATGCCACAACATAGATGGATCTTGAAAACATTATTCTGAGTGAAATAAGTCAGTCTTTAAAGGACAAATATTGTATGATCCCACTTATACGAAATAGGCAAAAGTACAGAGACCAAAGTTTATTAGTGTTTTCCAAAGGCGGGGGGATAATAATAACAATAATGATGTTGTTATTAGGGAGCACTGAGTTTCCGTTAATGGTGGTGGAATAATTCGGAAAAGGATAGTGGTGATGGTTGCACATCATGATGAACTTAATCAGTGTCACTGAATTGTACATGTAAAAATTGTTGAATTGACAAATGTTTTGTTATACATATTTTTACCACAATAAAAAGTGTTGAAATGGAAAAAAAAAAAAAAAAAAGTTCAATAATAGTAGCCAAGCACCATGCAGTTCTGGTCTCATGGCAAAGGAGGCATGTTCATGGAGGCAATTAGCCACATATTCCATTTCCTCCTCTATTCCTGACTCTCCTTCTTTCTCTGTTCCAGGCGAATAGAGACCAATTGTTGTGCCTTGGATGGCCGCTTGCAAGCTTTTAAGACCTCTAGAGACTACACAATGAACTAGGAGGTAGAACAGAAGCATTAAACACGTTATTAGGCCAGTTAACTGGTATGTCTCATGAAATCATGACCCTAAACCTCCAAACCAAGGAATCAAATCCCATGAGGTATTTGGTTGTATATAAGCAGACTCAGAAGTTACTCTTTTTTTAAATCATTGTTTTACATATGTCTATCACACAACTTTTGCCAATTCAACTTTTTACCACTGTGCAACTTATTGACAGCACTTACAGCAATTGGCTGTGCAACTTCCCTTAATCTATGCAATTTTTCAATCACTGTAAACTGAAACTCAGTATTCTATAAGCAATAACCCCTACTTTTTCTCTTCTCTCTTGCCCCCTAATAACCACTAATAGACTTTGGTCTCTATACATTCACCTTTTCTTGTCTTTTTATACAAGTCAGCATACAATACTTGTCCTTTTGTGACTGACTTATTTTACTCAGCATAATGTCTTTAAGCTCCATCCATATCTTAGCATATGTATCAGGACTTCATTTCTCCTGCTGGCTGAGTAGCATTCCATTGTATGTATGTACCACATTTTGTTTATCCATTTATCTGTTGATGGGAATTCAGGTTATTTCCACCTTTCGGCAATTGTGAACAGTGTGGCAATGAATACTGGTGTACAAGTCTCTATTTGAGTGTCTGCTTTCAAGTCTTCTGGGTATATACCTGGGAGTAGAATTGCTGGGTCATATGGTAGTTCTATTTTTAGTTTTTCCACACAGGCCAACTCTTAAAAGAGGTAGAATTAGCTTTACATCATTCCTAAAAGGTTTACTATTTTGGAAAAATCCTGGCAGGAGAGGCTTTTGAGCCAAAGTGCCTGAAGAGATTGGAACTGAAATCTAGTGCCTCATGCTGCTCAATTCCACCACGCCAAAGCAGGTCACCACATAATGAAACAGTTAGAAATGTACCCTAGCAAAGTCTGATGGAAAACAAATTTGCTTCAAGTGGCTCCTCTTATCAATTCCATAACAAAATCCTTTCTTGCTCTCCCAACCCAAAACCCATCCCCAGCCCCTCTGGTTTTTTCTCCATTTCTCATAAGCCTTCCTGTAGCCCACAGCCTGTTTCTTGTGATGAGATTCCTGACTGAGTATGCACTGTAGGAATGTCGTTGCGTGCTGTCGACTTATAGTGACATTATAGGATGGAATAGAACTGCTCCATAGGGTTTCTAGGCTGAAATCTTTATGGGAACAGATTGCCAGGTCTTATCTCCTGTGAAGCAGCTGGTAGGTTCAAATCATCAACCTTTAGGTTAGCAGCCAAGCGCTTAAGGGCTCTTTACTGTAGGAATACAACTATAAATCTTTTTTCTTGACCTGCCCTCAAAATTCTTACAGCCCAACAACATTGCTTCTACAGAACACATCCCAAATTTTAATCAGCAAAATTAATTTTATTTTCAATAGTTTCTTAATTGTAGAAAATAATTTCTGAGAATTTAAAATATT